TCATCCTCATTCCTTTGTACTTAACACTCTTGTTACAAATTTGAATATAAAAGATCATAGCTTAAACAGAATTAGTTTTTGTGAAGCATGTCAGTATGGGAAACTTCATCAAAGTCATTTTCCTTCTTCCGATTCACAAACATATATGCCCTTTGAGCTTGTTTTTGCAGATGTTTGGGGACTTGCCCCTGTTAGCTCAGCTACTGGTTATAGATATTACCTACTTTTGGTTGATGACTACACTCGGTACTCCTGGATCTATCCAATGAAGCTCAAATTTGAAGTTAACAATATAATAGAACAGTTTGTACAACTGGTTGCTCAGGAGTTTGACAAGAAAATAAAGACCTTTCAATCGGATTGGGGTGGAGAGTTTCGCCCTTTAGCTATATATTTTTGCTCAACAAGGAATACATTTTAGGCATCCATGCCCTCACACACACCAATAAAATGGAAAAATAGAATGCAAACATCGACATGTGACAGAGACAGTAACATTATTGGCCCAAGCTTCCATGCCACTTGAATATTGGTGGTTTGCATTCCACACGGCTGTGTACCTAATTAATAGGTTACCTATAATGGTTCTACATAATCAAACTCCTTTCAAAAGCTCCTCCACCGGTCCCTGGACTACCATGCTATTCAGATCTTTGGGTGCCAATGTTTTCCTTTCATCAGACCCTACCAAAAACATAAGTTTGCTTTCCATTCCGAGCAATGGGTTCTCTTGGAGTATAGCTCACATCATAAGGTATATTTTTGTCTTAATACTCATGGCAAGGTCTACACTGTTCAAAGTGTAAAATTTAATGAGGAAGTCTTCCCTTTTGCTCATAATTTTACCCTTACAACTGCTCGAGTAGTTTTTCTTGTTGCTAAAAAATTGGTTGCAGAATGTAGTTTTTCTTGTAGTGCTCCCACCACAACCACAAACTGTCTACAGCCTTGGAGACTTCCAGTTGATTTTTCTTCTCTGAAACAACCTATGCCAGATTCCTCTCGATTATCACCATCCTCCACTACATCTACTGCTCCAAATTATATTACCTCCACAGCACCTGTCATCAGCACCTCCTCGCATCCTCCCTCCTTTCAGCTAGTGGTTGACCTTTGGGGTTATCATACTACAACTCCTTTATCTCATCATCCCACTCAAAATGTCCATCCCATGGTAACCAGACATAAAGCAAAAGCCCTCCTTAGTTCCATCCTTCTAGAAAATCATACAGAACCTTCCTATGTTGCAACTGCGCTTCAGCATCCTCTTTGGCTCCAAGCCATGAAAGCCGAGTTTGATGCACTCCAAGCCAATCATACGTGGACCTTAGTCCCATATACAGACAAGATGACCTGAGTTGGGAATAAATGGGTCTTTAAAGTCAAGTTAAATGCTGATGGAAGTCTTCAATGGTATAAAGGGTGGCTTGTCGCGAAACGTTTTCATTAAGTTCCTGGCATTGATTACTTTGAGACATTTCATCCTGTTATTAAAGCTTCCACTATTCGAGTTATACTCTCCCTTGCTGTCTATAATGGATGGGAAGTGCAACAAGTTGACGTTAACAACGCATTCCTCAATGGCGACCTCATCGAGTCTGTGTATATGTCTCAACCAGAAGGTTTCTTGATTCTTCCAAACTATCCTACATCTGCAAACTTCACAAAGTGCTATATGGGCTAAAGCAAGCACCCCCGACTTGGTTTGACAAGCTTAAGTCAGCCTTGGTTAGTCACAGGTTTACCAATTCTATATTAGACTCCAGCCTGTTCTACTATCATCAAGATACTACAGTTGTCTACATACTTGTTTATGTAGATGACATCCTGTTAACTGGTAATAATGCCTCTTTTATTCAACATGTTGTCACCTATTTGGATGAAACTTTTGGCCTTAAGATTCTTGGTCCTGTCCACTACTTCCTTGGCATTTCCGTCGTTCATACACCTTATGGTCTTTAACTAAATCAGAAAAAATATGTTGAAGAAGTTCTCCAGCATTTTGGTATGCAACATTACAACCCTGTTCTACTCCCATGGTGCTTGGTTCCAAGTTGCAGTTTGATGATGGACCTCTTTTTTATCAGCCCTCCTTGTATCGCAGTCTTATTAGTGCTCTCCAGTATCTTATAATGACTAGACCAAACATATCCTTTGCTATTAGTAAGCTGAACTAATTCCTAAAAGCTCAAACAACTAATCATTGACAAGCCTGTAAGCATGTTCTTTGTTATATTCAGGGCACTTTGAGTCATGGCCTTACATTTCGAAAAAGTTCTACCTTGCATCGTAAAGGATATATGGATGCCAAGTGGGCAAGTAATTTGTCTGATCAGAAATCTGCCAGTAGCTATTGTCTCTTTCTTGTGTCCAACTTAATCCAATGGAGTTCCAAAAAATAGCAGGTAGTAGCTCTTTCTTCCACTGAAGCTGAGTACCGTGCCTTGGCTCAAGCCTCAACTGAAGTAGCCTGACTTCAAAACCTTTTTCGTGAGCTTCATATTACCATCCCCAGTGTTCTTGTTCTCTGGTGTGATAACACCAGTGTAGGTGCTCTTGTCGCCAATCTCGTGTTCCACACACAAACCAAATACATTGAAATCGACGTTCACTTTGTCAGCGAAATGGTTCAGTTTAAACGCTTGATGGTTCAATATGTTGCTTCTCAGTTTTAGGTTGCTGACATCTTGACCAAGCCGTTGTCTGGTTCTTGGTTTAAAACTCTTCGTGAAGGCTTGCGTCTTAGTGCTGCCTCTTTCCCATTTGAGCTTGAGGGAAATCCTTCACATATTAAGGCTCAAATTCTAAGGATTCAGCAGCAAAAATAAACAAATCCTGAGAAAGAAAAATCAGTCCAGTTTTTTTTTTTTTTTTAGTCCAGTTTTTTTTCTCCCTATAGATTTCTTTTTTTACTTAAGTTCAGCTTGAGGGACGATGTTAACCAAAACATCAAGCTTCACTTAAGCAAGAGACCCACACCATAGAAAACAAATGCTTCAGTTCACACTTCTTATCATCTACTAACAGCATGCAAGTCAGAAATACAAGTTGCACTATAAGGTGCAAAACAAATACAAGTTGGCCTTATCATTTACTAACGGCATGCAAGTGGGAATACAAGTTGTAAAATAGAATACAAGTTGGCCTGCAAGTGGAGACACAAGTTGCATATCAAACGAATTGTATTTAGTTAGTTGTTAGTGATCAAACGGTGGAGAAGAATGATCTGCATGTATAAATGTTGTAATAGTTACTATTCACGTAAGGAAATATGGAAAAAGTTTAGTGCTCTGTTTTCTTCATCCTATCGCATTTTTTTACATTTACAGTTGTCTCTCTCTCTTTCTATTGTGTTGAAAGTTTTACATAATGAAACATGTCATAAGTTCAAATTAACTTGATTTTTACTTAATTAAGTTGGATTAAATTAACCTAATCAATAGACTTGATTAATACGTAGTCACTACAATGAATAAAACAATATAATCTCATGGATTCTCATCCTAGGTATAGATATAGTCGGTATGAGCAATGCGGGTTCTTCTCATCAAGCACATTTCCTTTGAAACTCCTTCACAAACGATATGCTCCGCATTGGTATCCTATCAAAATCCCAAAACTATAAATAAATCAACATGATAAATACTTAGTATTCAATAAACATTAAAAAAAAAAAAAAAAAGAGCCAACCAATTGTGTTTTTGTTGGAGCATCATCGGGAAAGGTCAATTCTAGAGGGGTAGCATACGCTAGGGTTGAGAAGACTATGAGAAGAAGTATCATGAAAAGGGTGGCAACCTTAACGTGAGCCATCTTTTGCTTTGGGGTGAATTAAGAGTGTTTTGAGATACAAAGGAAACAGAATTTTGAGGCAAGCGTGTCAACTCTAAATTAGGATAATATATAGTTGAGAAAGAACAAAAGAATAGGATAGATTCAAGCTAAACCAATGAACTAAAACCGAAAATACTTTGGGTGGCTTCTAATTAACACAAGGCGGAGCCAGAAAATGTATTCTAGGAGACCAAAATGTTATGCTATTCAAAGAAAGGGCCAAAGCATTAGGAATTACATGTTTGGGGACCAAACTGTTAAGTTAAAAACTAAGGAGGCAAAAACGAAATAACAAAATTTATCTTTATACTTTTATTTTTTTTTATTTTTTTTTTAATTTTCACATGGTGGGGTTCTACAAGTAATCAATTTCCACATTGCGGTAGAGTAAAGATGAAAAGAAAAAGAATAAAAATATGGAATGATAGTTAATTAATAAGCTTTTATATCGATTAAAAAACATGAACATCAGAAAAAGTTTGAAGGTTAATAGTAATTTAATGAAATAAAATAATAAAACAAAAGTTAACTCACTTTTAGGCTTATAATACCAATAACATTCATCTCATGCAATCATTTGTTTATTTAAATAAGGGATATATTGTTAAAATTATCAATTAAAATTTGAGTGTAAAATATCGTTCTTTTTGTTTTTCTAATCTATTCGTTATGAATATAACTTTTAAATGTTATTATTAAATACATTTTCAACCTCAACTCAAAAAATATATAATGACATTCAAGTTAAGAACTTGTAAAATAGTAAAAAATCGAATCTTATAGGGAAGTACGCTTGAGTTTGTATTTAGGCATATCATATGCTTTATACTTAGTTCTTAACTTTGTTTTTGGTATTGTTGCTTTTTTAAGTTTAGTTTTGGTTTGGGTCTCCAAGCAACTTCATGTTCTGCAATCACTCCAAGTAACTTAATGTAAAAAAATTCCACCTTCTCTTTTCTAGTTATGACCTTATAAATTCTCAGTCTCTCACGCAAACTCTATATCTTCTTCTCTCTGTCTCTCTCCCTCGTCTCAGACTCTCAAGTAAGTAATCTCACAGACCAATTTTTTTATATTTTATTAAAAAAATCATGGGTTGCATTGATTAATCGAAAGTGTTTTTAATGTTTTTTGGATTGCAGGTTAAGTAATTTAATCTTTACATTATGGATGGAAGTGCGATGGATGTTGTGATAAATGATGATACGGAGCTCCCTTCCCTATCCAGTGGAGAACGGTCTGTGGCCAGTGGAGAACGGACTGTGGTTCTAGTTGGACGTACTGGCAATGGAAAAAGTTCCACCGGGAATAGCATTCTTGGAAAAAGGGCTTTTAAGTCCAAGACTAGTTCATCTGGTGTTACTAAAACTACTGAATTGCAGCGAACTGAGCTCAAAGATGGCCAGATCATTAATGTTATTGATACTCCTGGTACGGTAACTTGGATTTGATTGTACAGTTTACAATTTTTATCTTGTATTTGAAATTTATTTATCAAATAAACTAATGCGGTGAGTCATTGCAGGACTCTTTGATTTTTCAGCCGAATCTGAATTTCTTGGGAAAGAAATTGTCAAATGTATTAAATTGGCCAAGGATGGTATCCATGCAGTCCTTTTAGTTTTGTCAGTGAGAAACCGTTTTACACAAGAAGAACAAGCTGCAGTACTTACCTTGCAGTCTTTGTTTGGAAGAAAAATTATAAACTACATGATTGCAGTCTTCACCGGTGGGGACGAACTTGAAGAAAATGAGGAAACATTGGAAGAGTATTTGGGTCGCGAATGTCCAGATCCTTTAAAGGTTTCTTTTTTAACTTAAGTTTGATTTATTAGCCGTGTTGTTAACTTAAGAAAAATATTGTTTTCAAACTATTTTATTTGGTTAGCATATATATGCTAGGCTGAACATCTTCAAGCTTTACGATTCTTAAAATGTTCATTAATACTGTAAAAAGGTCAATATAAGCTATTTTTCAAATTTATATTAACATTGTCTCAGGATATTCTTGCTTTGTGTGAAAATCGGCGAGTGCTTTTTGATAACAAGACTAAGGATGAAACCATAAGAGCTAGACAAGTTGGAGAGCTTCTCTCCCTTGTTAACAGGGTCATAGCGCAGAATGGCGGACAACCATACACAGATGAAATATTTGCTGAAGTGAAGGTGAGTTTGTTCACAATTTTTTTTTTTTTTTTGACTCATGCAGTTCACATTAAATATGTCGTGAAATGTCTTTATTTGATATACAGAAGGAGGCTATGAAACATCATAAACAACAAGTGGAGGTTGATTCCCTAAAGGGATATTCAAAACCAGAAATTACAGAGCTGAAGGCGGAAATAGAAAGATCATATGAAGATCAACTCAAACGAATTAGTAAGATGGTAATCTTGTTGATCTATGTTCATTTCTTGATTTATCATGTGCATTTGCGATCAGATATTCTAAGTTGTATAATTACAAGATGGTAAAGTTGCAATTGTGGCATTTCCCTGTACTTATGGAGAACACCGCCCCTAGGAAGATTAAATTTTGTATGCACCTCTTAAGAGGCTTTAACTTACCATTTCATTGAAGAGAACCCTTTTATAAAGCCATATTTTCACATATTCTGATTTAATGACTATAACTAGTTGAATTTTCCATAAAGGTTTTCTAGATACTTGTTGATGCTTGATTTTGGACACCAACTAAATGCACGTGTGCAATGCTGAGTTGGCCCAGAAGACACACGTGAACAGTCAGAATGTGAGTGAAAGAGAGTGACAAGACTATTTTTAAAGTGGTTTGGATGCTTTAAGGAAGCAAGTCCTACGTCCACTGATATGTATTAATGATAGCGACCTGATCGCAGTCAGCGAGCTGACTTTACAAGTGAGAGAGGGAGATACAGTATATGATATTTTTTTGAGAGATTAGCTAATCCCGAAATTGAGGGAGAAACTCTCAATTTATAGTGGGATGGATCAAGGTGATGATTGCTCAATCTGTGAGTTGGTGGGATTATCCATACAAATCTTCCTTTATGTCCCATTGCCGGTTTTCCAGAACGATTTGCGTGATTTGGTGCATGCAATTGGACACGTGGAAGCTCTCCAGCTTATGGCTGGCCTAGCACGCACCTACTACTCTGACAGAAGCAAGCTAGTCTTTTGTCACGTGACTCGGCTGTGGGTTCCCAGGTTCTAACTTTTGCATGCTGACCTGATCCACATCAGCCCTGCTTTCCTAAGGCATAACAAAAGTCCCCTAGTTTTTAAGGTTTGAGGATTGGACCTTGAAAACTATAATTCATGCCATGGCTAGACGCCTTCGAAGTTCTGGTGATCCCGACCTGATTAAAGAGTGATCGAGGCTGCACTTTTGGGAAGTGCGACCTCGCGTGGTTATTGCTTTTAAGAATGAGCGACCTGATCTTCGAGAGTATATGACCTGATTACACAGAATCCTTTGCTAAAGGGGTCGTGCTATTTTGGGACCGAATGACTATTAAGGGTCACGTCACTTTGCGACCAGAAGGACATGATCAAAAAGTCGCATCGCTTCGTGACTAGCCTGATGAAGAGTGTTCTATATAACGACCTCTTCAGATGTTATCTGTTGTACTTCCAATATCGGTGCATTTAATGAGACAGCTTCTGTTCTGTCAGACATGCTCTGCGCGTAGTAAGTGCCAGCCAGGCGCATTAAATGCGTGACAGGCTGAAACGACACTCCTTACCAGAGCATTGAATGCAGACTTAGGCGCATTAAATGCATGATGTACTGAAACGACATTCCCTATCTGAATATTGAATGCAGGTTGAGGCGCATTAAATACAGAGTGGGAGAGTATCGTTGTTTGAGTTTTTCAGCGGGAAACATACGACGGTTAGGTTTTTTTTTTTTTTTTTTCGAATCGCGACGGTTAGTCTCCCCCGCCTGATTCGTGACACGTGGTCGTGATCAACGGTGAGGCCCCTTTCTGGCCTGATGTCATTTTGATTCAGAGAAGACGAAGCATCATTCCCTTATAAAAGCTCAAATTTTTCTCAGGCATTGTCACTATACGTCTGTTTTAGAGAGAACAATAGACTTTCGCAAACTCAGATCCTCAGCCTTCCAAACCAGCGTGTTCCTGACATTTGAAGCAGAAGAAGCCATTTTCGCACTCCAAGAGGTGAGGATAGTTTCTATTTTATCTTTGGTTCTGTAGTTGAATAGCGTTAGTCTTCCGATAGTTATTGGGGACGAGACGTTTTTGCTGGGTTCGAGCCGTGTATGGCAGCTCAAAATACTGCTAGGGTTTCTGGGATTTAGGGAGTTTTTTCTTTTCCCACGTCATCCTGCAAAATAGCGCACGATGGCTAAGTGACCTCCTGCTTGTCGCTTTAAAATACAGACTAGAGTAGAATGGACCCAACGACCAGACTCGAGGAAGAAGCCAGCTCGTCTGCGCAGGATGCTCCTACGAGCCTCACTCAAGAGATCTACTCGGTGCTTACTGGGGATGAGCTCAAGCGAGTGATAAAATAGTATGGTATCAATGTGGAGGTTCTCTACAATGGGACACACACAGCTTGGCATCCTTCAAGTGGGATGGCCGCAATCTCTAAGGAAATATTCAAGAGTGGGGGGTTGATCCCTTTCCACCCTTTCGTCAGGTCGTTCCTGGATCACTTTGGGGTCGCGATGATGCAACTCATGCCGAACGCGTACACAATCGCTGTTGGCATGTATATCGCATGCCGCGAGAACGTGTTGGGCGAGCTAACTATGTTAGAGCTCGCCTGCTCATATATCTTGAAGAAAAGCAAGGACAAGGATTCATATTACTTGTCCAGGCGACCCACAATAGCGGCGGGGATACACAGTTATCCCAGCAATGCAGGGGCCTATGAAACGAAGTTTTTCTTCTTTCGTTATGATGGCCACTGTAGTTTTTTGGATCCGAGTAGGTCTTTTTTCCTCAAATTCATGGATTTCGCTGTAGTTTTTATTACTAACGACCTGTTTGTTTTTGGTAGTTAATAAGACGACCGATTTGGGGCTACTCTCTGACCCGAACAGAATCGTTTCCTTCGATTTTCTACCCAAGGAGAGTCGCGACGCAAAAAAGCTCATGACGATAGCAAATCTTAGGAAGTACGGTTTCTTCAACGCTGACGCGACCTTAGAGTCCCCAACTCGTAAGTAGTGTTGACTTGATTTGTTTTGTTTAAATGAACTGTTTACTAACGATGTTCATGTGCAGCGACCATGCCTCCGAAGGCGCCTGGGTTGTCAAGACCTAAGCAGTTTGTCTTCCCTCGGATGAGGACGACCAAGACTGAAGCTGCTCCCCGAGGTCCCCCGGCCGAGGGTGGCACGTCAGGAGCTCTGGCTGAACCTGCTGGGGCTTCCTAGCCTCTGACGACTGCCCCGGTCTGACCTGAGGGTGCTTCTCGGCTATCGACTGCCCGTCCAAGGACAAAGAAAACGGCTCAACGACCTAAGAAGAAGAGAAAACAAATCCAAGTCGAGGAGTCAAAAACTGAGTCTGAGGGTGATCAGACTAGGAGGTCGTAAGCACATGTTGGGCAAAGGTCGGGTAAGGAACCAGTGGGCGACACGACCTCTGCTGGTGGCACTAGCGAGGATACTCTGGTGCTGGATTCAATGGGAAACCTGTCGAAGCACCTGCAGCTAGTCGTCTTCACCCTGTTGGAGTGCGGACTCACCAAAGTGTTCGAGGAGTTCGTGGGATCCAGTGATGTGGACCTCATGTCAACATCAATCCAACATTTAAGCAAGGTAAACAAGCTGTCTTTGGCGAGCTTTCTTGTTTTATGACCAATTTTGAGGCTAACTTTATTCTATGTTCGCAGGCCCTGCTCTCCATGCAATTATCTATGCAAAAGGTTCGGTTGGGAGCTACTGCGGGGGAGGTCACACTAAAAGAAGAGAACGCGAGGCTAAAGCAGGACCTTAAAGCCACTGTAGCAGAAAGAGAACGATCCTCAGCGGAGGCGAATCGGCTCTGAGGTGAAAGGGACGTGGCTCTTTGCACCGTGCATTTCCAAAAAACCGAACTCGAGAGGCATGTGGAGGAAGTGAAGGAGTTATAGAGGACCGTAGCTAGACTTTTCGGGGAGGTCAGATTGAAGGATTAGGAGCTAACAGTGACCTATGAGCGGGCCTTGCGAGCTGAACAGGATTGGGAGGCCTCTGAGAAGCAAAGGCATGCTCTCGAGGACGAGCTCCAAGTCAGTCAGGGAAAAATTACTTCCTTGACCGAATAGATGTAGAACCAGGGAGTGGAGGTCAAGGAAAAGGCTGCTAAATGGGCGATCCAGTCTATCTACGCCCTATGGCTGAAAAATCTGTGACTTGACATGTCCGACCTGTCGGAGGACTGGCGAGAGATGCTCCTTTCCATGGCGCAACTTGACGACCAGGATGCGAAGGAGGCTGCCCAAGGAGCTGAACCGAGAGAGACTTTGGGACACCCCTCGAAGCCTACAACCGACCAGCCCTGATGCGAGGTCAGGCTCCCTAGATTAGATCGGGACATAATTTTTCTTTTTTGTTTGTTGCTCGTTGTACTCCATTTGCTAAATGAAATACATTGTCTTTACAATCTCTTTTGTTATGAGTTCACTTTATTATAACTCTCCTAACTGTTTATCATTAGAACAAGTCTGCGAATAGTCATAACACACCTATGCTAACAGAATTACATGCGAAAATTATTGCAAACGAACGAATGATACATTTTTTATTTACATAAAGATTACAAGACATTTACAAGGAAAATGAGTTCAGAATTACTGATAATATGGTCGGATATGCTCAGCATTCCAAGCTCGGGACACCTTGGAACCATTCAGTCATTTGAGATGATAAGTCTCCAGTCTTATCACTTCGACGATATGGTATGGACCTTCTCAGTTCGGTCCTAGAACTCCTGCACTTGGTTCCCTTGTGCCGAGAAGAACTTCCTTCAAAATGAGGTCACCGACCTGGAAGTCTCTTCTCCTGACCTTAGAGTCGAAGAACCTCTTCGCGCATTGCTGATAGGCTGTTATTCTTAGTTGGGCCTTGCTGCAATGTTCTTCAACTAGGTCCAGACTTGCGGGCATAAGCGCTTCGTTGTCTGCTTCATTGTAAAGGTCCCTCCGAAGTGAACCGATTACTACCTCCACAGGGATCATCGCTTCGCAACCATATGCTGGCGAAAAGGGGGTTTCTGAGATAGAGGTTCTCAGAGTTATCCTGTAGGCCCACAGAACTTCAGGGAGGTCGTCGGCCTAATTTCCCTTGGCTGCACCAAGCTTAGCCTTCAAAGTGTGCTTAATGGTTTTGTTGACGGCCTCAACTTGACCATTTGCTTGCGACCTTGTGATGGAGGCAAACTCTTTGTAAATACCCAGCTCATCGCAAAACTGCTTGAACTCCTCGTTATCAAATTGTTTTCCATTGTCGGATATAAAGGTATGAGGAATTCCGTAGCGACACACGATGTTTTTAAAGACAAAGTCCTTGAGCTTTCTGGTCATGATCGTGGCTAATGGTTCGACTTCGACCTATTTGGTGAAGTAATCCATCGCGACCATGACATATTTTACTCCCCATTTACCAACTAGCATGGGGCCGATGAGATCGATCCCCGACATGAAGAATGGCCAGGGGCTGGTTATAGTTGCCATTTGGTGAGAGGGGCCTCATGGTATGTTCGAGAACCGCTGGCATTGGTCACACTTCTTGACAAAGTTGTAGGCGTCTTCTTGGATTAGGGGCCAGTAGTACCCTTGACGAACAACTTTGTTGGCGAGAGATCCTGCGGCGGTGTGATTACCGCAGATCCCTTCGTGTATCTCTCTCAGGATGTAATCTGCCTCTTCGTTGTTTACACATCGGAGGAGAGGGGCGCTAAACCCTCGCCGGTATAGATGATCTCTGATGAGGGTGTAACGAGCAGATCTTGTTCGGATGGTCCTTGCCTCAAACTTATCATCGGGTAAGGTCTCATCTTTGAGATACCGAATGATAAAGGTTATCCATGAGTTTGACTCTGTCACATTCATGGCCTGTTTGATCAGGCTGATATTAGGGATCTCGATGAATCGAATAGGAATGCTCTCCGATGCATCGGAGTCCAACGATGAGGCTATCCTTGCCAAGGCATCTGTCATAGAATTGTTATCTCTAGGGATTTGTTGATCGTGAAGTGCTTGAATGGCTCGAGTGCAGCCTTAGCTTTCTCTAGATAAATGATCATATTTTCTTCCTTGGTTTGATACTCCCCCAAAATTTGGTTAACGACCAGCATGGAGTTGCTGTGGATACTGACCATGGTTGCACTCATTTCCTTGGCCAATCGTAGTCCAACGGGCAGAGCTTCGTACTCGGCTTCATTATTGGTTGCCCTAAAACTGAATCGGAGAATGCCATGAATGCGAGCCCTTTCGAGACTCAATAGGAGAAGACCCGCCCCGGCCCTCTTTCTGTTCGATGATCCATCGACGTAGAGGCTCCAGGTTGATAGGTTTTGGACAGTTTCTTGGATGACTTCATTAGGTTGTTGTTCCAACTCGCTCGTAGGGTGATGCGAGAACTCTGATATGAAGTCGGCAACAGCCTGCCCTTTGATAGTTGCTCTCGGTCTGTAATGGAGATCGAATTGACTGAGTTCCATGGCCCATTTGAGCAATTTACCCAATGCCTCTGGTTTTTGGAGGACCTACCTAAGCGGGTAGTTGGTTATTACATGAACTGTATGGGCATGGAAGTAAGGTTGCAACTTTTGGGAAGCGATCAGCAAGGCATAGGCTAATCGCTCCATTTTCGGATACCATATCTTGGCATCCAACAGATGCTTGCTCGCATAATATACTGGCCATTGCGTTCTGTTCTCTTCCTGAACTAAGGCTGCACTGATCGCTAATTGCGAGACGAACAGGTACAATAGGAGGATCTCTTGCGGGAGAGGCTTGGACAGAAGTGGTGGCTTCTCGAGGTGTTCCTTTATTCTCTAGAATGTCTGTTCACACTTGGTAGTCCATTCGAACTTCTTGTTGGCCCTGAGTACATTAAAGAATGGCAAGCAGCGATCTGTTAGCCTCGATATGAAGCGACTTAGCATTGCTATTCGCCCGTTCAGGCTTATGACCTGCTTTTTGTTGGTCAGGCTCTTCATATCGAGGAGAGCTTGGATTTTTTCGGGGTTGATCTCAATTTCCTATTGGTTAACCATGTACCCTAGAAATTTTCTTGAGGATACTCCGAATGAGCATTTGAGGGGGTTCAACTTCATTCGGTACTGTTAGAGGATGTCGAACATCTCAGTGAGATATGCTATGTGATCTGAAGCGACATGCGACTTGACAAACATGTCATATACATAGACCTCTATCGTTCTTCTGATCTGTTCGGAGAACATTCGGTTAACCAGCTGCTGGTAAGTTGCGCCAGCGTTCTTGAGGTCAAAGGGCATAACTCTGTAGTAGTATAGTCCCCGATCTGTAACAAAGGATGTATGCTCTTCGTTCGGCGCGTACATCAGAATTTGATTGTATCCTGAGTACACGTCTATAAAACTCAATAGCTCGTGCCCTGAGGTAGCATCCATGAGCTGATCGATCCTTGGTAGGGGAAAGCTGTCTTTTGGGCATGCCTTGTTGAGGTCGGTGAAGTCGACGCAGGTTCGCCATTTTTCGTTAGGCTTCTTCACTAGGACCGGGTTAGCAACCCAGGTTGGGTAGAGCGCTTTTTGGAGATCCACTCCGAAGGAGGTTATCTACCTCGAGTTTCAAAGTAGCATACCACTACGGATCCATCGCTCTCCTCTTTTGATGAACCAGCTTGGCTTCGCTGTCGATGTTTAACGTATGGCAAATAATGTCTGAGCTGATCCCAACCATATCCGCATGTGACCATGCGAGCACATCGATATTTTCACCGAGGAAGCTGGTCAGTTCACTGGCAAGCTAAGGGTTGAGATTGTTTTCAATCCTTAACACTTGGCTCGGTTCATTCTGGTCGACCAGTACTTCAAACAGGTCTTCAACTTGACCACTGGAACGTATTCCTGAATGCGAGGATCCATATTATCCTTGGCTGGGCCAGGCTGTGACTCGATCCGACTGATCGCCATTGCCAGTCGGTGCATGCCGTGCGAGGTGCCTTTCCCTTTGTACGCCATCTATACTGCTTTTACATAACTGTCACGAGATGCGCGCTGAGACCCACTAACTTCCCCGATCCCCATCGGGGTAGGGAACTTCATCTCCAGATGGTATATTGAAGTGACCGCCTTGAAGTGTCTCGGCAAAGGTCACCCTAGGATTCCATTAAGAGCGGATGGGTAATCTACTACCAAGAACTTAATTGCCTTGGTCACTTCGTCGAAGTCACCCAGGGTGACTGGGAGTGAGATCGTTCCTTTGGGGAGCAGGTGGTCCCTTGTAAAACCATATAAAGGGAACGAGGCAGGCTTTAGGTCGGCCTCGTCCAAATTCATTCTTTCAAAAGTCGAAGCAAACAGGATGTTCACAGCACTTCCGTTATCCACTAACATTCTGTGGATATTATGGCACCCTATGAGTGCATGACCTGGTGGGTTTGGTGTAGCTGGAGGTTTTCAGTCTGGAAACAATTACTAGTCTGGTGTTTTTCATCCACCATCACAGGTTGCTAATGTCATGAATGGTTCTCAGTATAATCCATCTTTCTCAGCTGGTGGTGTTAATCAAGTTGCAAGGTCTTTCTAGGTTGATCAACCTGTATATACTGGCTTGCCAAGTTAACAGTCATCTGTTGCTTTTCAAAATGGCTCGCAAGCATATATAGCTATGCATCCACAATAGTATTCAGCTCTGCCCTTTGCAAATGCAAACATTCCTACTGATCCAGTTTGGTACATGGATTCAGGGGCCACTGATCATATTGCATCTAATCCAGCACACCTAAATGTTAGAAGGCCATATGAAGGGACAGATTAGTTGGAAGTGGGCAATGGTGAGTTGTTGCACATCTCTCATACTGGTACCTCTTCTTTACCCAACAATTTACATTCCAAATATCTATATCTCAAGAATATTTTTTGTGTTCCAAAAATTACAAAAAATCTACTTAGTATTTCTAAATTTACAAAGGTTATGTAGTTGTGGAGTTTAATTCTCATTGTTGTGTTGTAAAGGACAAAGTTACTAGGGCAACACTACTGCAAGAGGATCTTAAGGTAGGGCTTTATCAGCTGGTGATACCTTGAAGTCTGTTAGTTCAACCTTCTGTCTTCATAGAAAACTCTTCCTTAAGGTCACCCTCTAGAAACCTAGTATCGTCTCACATTCATGATGTTAGTTCCTTAAGTTCATCATTAGATCCTACCTTTAGGAATAAAGTTGCCAGTGACAAACTTAATAACAATCAGTATGTCTGCTCTAGTTCTACTTAATCATAACAACAACATGTCTTTTCTTGTATTTCAGATTGTAGTAAACAACATATCTCTTCTTGTACTTCAGATTTTAGTAATAAAAATAGTGATATTACTGACTCTGATGTTTCCTTTATTAGTGATAATCAAAATGTCAATAAAGTTGATTGTGATGTTGATTGTTGTGCTCATAATAAATCTTCTGTTTGTGTGGTTAATGACAATCAAGAATGTGCAAATTTTGCTCATAAATGTATCAATCATGAAAAATCCATCTCTCATTGTGCATATCATACTGAACCAATGTCAACATGTGCTTTAACTGTGCATAATTGTTTTGACTCTATGATTTGGCATAAAAAGTTAAGAGATCCACACATCAAAGCATATCAACATATTATGCGCTCTTTACTAAAGAAATCACATCTGAATTTTGTTGAGTTTTGTGATGCTTGTCAAATAGGAAAAATGCATCACACAACTTTTCCTAGGTCATCATTTTGAGCAAGGTCACCCCTTGAACTCATTCATAGTGATGTATGGGGACCTGCCCCTATTCCTTCAACTGAAGGATTTAGATATTATGTTTCTTTCTTGGATGACTATAGTAGGTTTACATGGCTCTTTCCACTTAGAACCAAGGCTGAAGTGAGATCTGTTTTCATTAAGTTTCATCACTTAGCCGAAAGACAATTTGACCATAAACTTAAATGCATTCAATCTGATAAAGGGGGTGAATATAAAAGGTTAATTCCTTACTTAACTAGTGAAGGTATTCAATTTAGACATTCATGTTCTTATGTGCATGAACAAAATGGTCGAAGTGAGTGGAAACATCGACATGTAGTTGAAACCGATTTAACCTTATTAGCTCATGCATTTATGCCATTGCATTTTTGGTGGCTAGCTTTTGAAACTGCAACGTATTTGATTAACAGAATGCCAACAGAAATTTTATAGTGGGTGTCACCCTATCAAGCGTTGTTTAAGTTTGCACCTTCTTATGATACTTTAAAAGTTTTTGAATGTGCTTGTTTCCCTTTTCTAAGAGTCTTCAACCAACATAAGTTTAGCTTTCACTCTAAAAAATGTGTCTTTGTAGGATATAGTCTAGTTCATAAAGGGTACAAATGTCTCAATTCAAATGGAAAAATCTTTGTCACTCTAAGTGTTAAGTTCAATGAAAAAAAGTTCCCTTTTTCTTCTGGTTTTTCAAATATTAGTTCAACCACTTTACCATCAGTAGAGCCTTTTAATCCTGCACCACAATATTTTTCTTTTGTGTCAACAAACCACTCAAAAGTTCCATATCAATCAACTGAACCTGGTTTTACTGAATTTGCCCCTGCAGTGGCTAGCTCTTCTAACGATTCTCCTTCAGCTAGTACATGGAATAAGAACTGCGCACTTGTTGATAATCCTACACGCCTTCACTCATCTAAATCCATTTCTCCACCTCAACAACAATTACATTCATCACAATCACATCTGCCTGGAACTATTGAAATTGATTTTACAGCCTATTCAAGACCATTGTTGTCCTCTACATCAACTCCTTCAACAATCAAATCCAGCCAATTACCTACACAAACCAACACAACAATTTCTACAAATTCAACATCATATTTTGCAACCAAACCAACATCCTTACCCATATCAACTATCATGATTACATCCTCTTCACAATCAATACCACAATTATCAACAATCAGGCCTATAACAACTACAACAACTGCACCATCATGCTCTCTTGAAACTGATCTAACTCTTTCACAGTCTGTTAGCATTCCATCATTCTTAGATACTTCCAGCAATGTTCATCCAATGATTACAAGATCTAAATTGGCCAAGATACACTCTTTTCCTGTCTTTCCTATAAAGTCATCAATTTAGCCTTCCATCCAGCCTACAAATCAAATTACATGTTCAACTCAGCCTAAAAATCAATATACAGCTCTTATACTTACTGGATCAGTTATACCAGAACCAAATTCAGTTCAAGAAGCCTTGAAGAATACTGAATGGAAAATTGCAATGCATTGTGAATATTATGCTCTAATTTCAAATAACACATAGACACTTGTACCTTTTTCATCAGAAATGAATGTTGTTGGAAACAAGTGGGTTTTTAGAGTGAATATAATGCTGATGGTTCTCTTCAAAAGTATAAAGCCCGATTGGTAGCCAAGGGGTTTCAACAAACCCCGGGACTGGACTATTTCGATACCTTTAGTCCAATTATTAAACCATCAACAATTAGAATTATCCTCACGTTGGCTGTCACTTATAATTGGGATGTTCAACAAATTGATGTGAACAATGCTTTTCTCAACGACACTCTAAATGAAGTTGTTTACATGGTGCAACCTCCCGGTTTTGAAGATACTATCAAACCACAGCATATGTGCCGATTAAACAAGGCTTTATATGGGCTCAAACAGGCCCCTAGAGCCTGGTTTGATAGACTAAAACAAGCACTTTAGAACAAGGGATTCAGAAATTCTGTATCAGATTCAAGTTTATTCTTCCTCAACCAAGATGCACAAATTACTTATGTTTCGGTTTATGTTGATGATATCTTACTAACTGGATCTAATATGGCATATGTGAGTGCTCTTGTGTAAGAACTTTATGATAAGTTTACATTGAAAGCACTTGGTTCTTTAAAATATTTTCTAGGCCTTGAAGTTACCAGGACAACCATTGAAATTCATCTAAGACAGACCAAGTATGCTAATGATCTGTTACAAAAAACAAAGATGATGGAAGCCAATTCATGTACCACTCCTATGACCACAGGATCAAAGTTGTTTCCAATGGATAGTGAGCTGTTTCTGGATCCCAGTTTGTATAAGAGTATAGTGGGTGCTCTTCAATATCTCACTTTAACAAGGCCTGATCTCAGCTTCACAATGAATAAGTTAAGTCAATTTTTGCAGTCTCTTACTGATCTACATTGGCAGGCTTGTAAAAAGGTATTACGGTGCATTCAAGGCATAAAAGATTATGGTCTTAAGTTCACACCAACTGCCTCTTTAGAGATTGAGTGTTATGCTGATGCGGATTGGGACAATAACATAGAGGACAGAAGGTCCACAAATGGGTATTGTGTCTACTTAGGACCAAACCTAATCCAATGGAGCTCTAGAAAACAGAAGGTAGTATCTCTATCCTCTACTGAAGTAAGTACAGAGCTTTGGCACATACAACCACTGAAATTGCCTGGTAAAATAGTGTGTTCAATGAATTGGGTCTATTAATTACTAAAATTCCTGTAATATGGTGTGACAATGTGAGTGCTAGAGCATTGGCTTCCAATCCCGTATTCCATACTAGAACCAAGCACATAGAAATTGACACACACTACATCAGAGAATAGGTTTTAGCCAACAAAATTGTTGTGCAATATGTTTCCTCAAAGCTATAGATTGCTGACATTTTAACAAAGGCTCTTCCGGCTACTCAATTTGAAGAACTGAGGGCAAAACTAAATGTTGTTTCTTATTGTTGTAGCCAATAACTTGCAGTTGTTTGAGGAAGCAAAAATGCAGTAAATTGAGAGAGTAAACTGCATTAGTATTGAAGAAGTAAACAGCAGTAGCTTGGGGTCTGTACAATGAGTAAACTGCCGTAGCTTGGAATATGTACAATGAGTTAAACTGCAGTAGCTTGGGGTCTAAACAATGAAGGAAGCAAAGATTTTGTTGTTGTTGTTTTTTTTTTTTTTTTTTTTTTGGCAGTAGCTTGAGGTGTAAATTGCAGAGTTGCAGAGCAGTTGATAGAATGAAGTAAACTGTAGTAGCTTGGAATCTGTATAATGAGTTAAACTGCAGAAGCTTGGGGTCTGAAAAATGAAGGAAGAAAAGATTTTGTTGTTTTTTTTTGTTTTTTTTTGTTTTTTTTTGTTTTTTTTTGTTTTCAGTAGCTTGAGGAGTAAATTGCAGAGTTGCAGAGCAGTTGATAGAATGAAGTAAAATTACAGTAGCTTGAAGGAACTTAACTACAGAAGAGTTGACAGATCTATTGATGAGAATGAAAAATGTCGTATGTACCCCCTTAATGTCTAATCTTTTATACTTATTTGTTGCCTAAATGTACTCGTTATTATTCTATTTTTATTTAGGATGCAAATGGAGGCGTTAAATGCAAAACATAACTAATTAGGTGAATTCGGACAGTTTCGACATTGATTCGTAATCTGGGCATAACTCTCTCATCCGAGCTCCGATTGAGATGAATCAAAATGCTGTGAAACCCTAAGAAAGAGATCTAAAATTTCATGTTTTGAGTTTGGAGATATACTCGCTGCATCAAGGTTTTAATTGGACTTGAAGTTGACGCACTTGCACTGCTGACGTTTTGGAACATTCCGCTTTGTCATGCAAGTCAAAGAGGCAGTTTATTATTGGAAGATTTGAAGACCTATTGCATGCAAGTTACAGCTGGACACAACACTTTCCTATTTTTATTTTAGGACTTTATTGTATTTTCAATGTATCAGAATCAGATTAGGATAAATGTTATTTTAGGATATTAGAGTATTTTTAAAAAGATTTGAATTAGATTTTTGAAAGGATAGAGAGATTAGACCAGGGTTGGAGACAATTATGCTTCTCCTGTTTTTGCAACTTTTCCTTTTCCTTTGAATTTCGTGATGGCCATGAGCGGCTAAAACTTTTATAACTTGGTCGAAGGAAACGGAGGCCTCGGAATCAATAAATTGTGAGATCTAATCTGTTTTATTTTAGTGTTCAATTTATGTTTT